CTTGTTATCTTCTACCTCAATACCTTTTCCTCTCACTACTTCCATGTCCATTCTGATGTCCAATATCTGGAAATCAATTAATCTCTTAAATAAACTCAATGACCGTGCCTCTGCATCCTTCTGGGGGTGAGAATTCTAAAGATTCCCCATTCTCAAAGTATGAACAAATAAATGACTTAACCCTTATTTTGAAACTAACTGGCTCCAGACCATGCGATATTGCGGACCATGAGCTATCGTAGAGAGTGAACCAGAGCTGAGACCTTGATCACATACACTTGAGTGTTTTGATCACTGACATTATTTAGGAATCTTCTGATGTCAAATTAACTTGATGGCAATTGAAAAAAAGTAAATTACTGCGGATGACGGAAATCTGAAACAAACACAGAGAATGCTAGAGAAGCTCAGCAGGTCTGGCCAGGTCAGTGGAGAAACAGAGTTAATGCTTCGAGTCTGATGTGACTTCTTCAGAGCAGTTCTCTGTGTTTGTTAAGTATACGACAGTGTAGACTGCATTAACATGTCTTTGGATTGTTAGCAGTGTTTATATGGCTGAGTATTAGGATTAGGATTAGACAATATTTGAAGAATGATATGGACACCCAGATTCTCCTGCAGTTTAACTTCTTCCAATCAGGCTTCCCACTGCTTGTCAGTGTTGAGAATGGTTCAGTGACAAAACCAAGTCTTCAAAAGTGCTATTTTAACTGTGCAGGGGGGGGGACTGCTGACATTCTCTGAAGTTTGATTTCCAGTGGCTGTGGTGGGACTTGCCTCTAAATCACCGCCTCTAAAACCCTCATAGAGTTATACAGCATGGAAACAGGCCCTTCGGCCCAACAGTTTACTGTAATCAAAACAGAAAGTGCTGGAAATACTCAGCAGCATCAGTGAAGCAAAGGAGAAAAGAATAAACACTTCACATTCACGACCTTTCTTCAGAATTGGCTTCACTGCCTCAACTTTTATTTGTCCGCATTATAGCCACGATTCTGCATAAGCCCATCAATAACAGAGGGTGGAACTTGCCCATATTATTTCAGAGTGTGGGGTCAGGGGTGTTAGGTGGTAACTAACATGCCTCTCCCCACCAATGAGCCAACTAACCCGATCACCCACCAACCAATTGGCAAGAACTGGGTGATTTTTTTCAGCCACTCACAGGCCTTGACCTGCGACCTGAGTTGTCAGAAGCTGCCTGCCAATCAGGCTTCAGTACGCCTCTGGGTCCTAAAGTCCACTAGTCGAAGCATGCTGCATAAGAAACAGGGACAGGACTACGACATTTGGCCCCTGCTTTGCCATTCAGTAGAATCAGGGCTGATCTGATAGTCCTTACGTCCCTTTCCTGCCCTTGTCCCCATATCCCTTGATCCCCGATTGATTAAGAATCTATCTGTCTCGACCTCAAGGACTGTGCCCCCACAGTTCTCTGTGGCGAGGAGGTCCAAAGACACTCAATCCTCTGTGAGAAAAGAAATTCCTCCTCATCTGTCTTAAATCAATACCCCTTAATTCTGAATGTCTGGGGAGAGGGGAGTCAGAGGGGGAGGGGTCAAAGGTGAGGGGAGAAGGTTGGCATTCAGAGGCCACACCCCTTGCTGCCTCCTACCCCTCATCAGTGCCTCTGATTGCCCCGAATTGGAGCTTTCCTCCCCCATTTTAATCCTGATGTGAAGGTGTCGGTGTTGGACTGGAGTGGGATTTCTGACATTGTCCATTCTAATCTGGGAGGGCATGTCAAGGTGGCTTTCCTAACAGGATACTAGCTACCATCGGGGAGGCAGCTAATCAATCATTAATTGACCACTGAAGAGCCTTAATTATTGATGAGTTAGGAAAGTCCCCAATGGATTTTCTTGCCCATTGTTGAGGTGATGAGAAGGGAGTGAGTATCTCTCCAAGGCCAACATACTCCTTCTCACCACCTCTCTCATTCCTTCCTGGAACGGCTAAGTTCTACTAAATTTTAAGGTTAATGTTTCCAGTTTTGATTTGCCTGGTTTTCCTTCCTGTGCTAACACTCCTTCCTGGGAAACAGGTGGTGTCTTGCTGGTATCTTACAGTTAATGGTATGTACAGATATCAGTAATGGTAAACCCTGAAACCCAGTCTGAACTCTAGTATTGTCCATTGCTACTTCTTCAATTCTCACTAGTGATAGGAATGTTGGCATGTTGAGCTATACTGCTATATTAAGTGTTGATACCAGTTGAGTTGTTCTCTATTTCCTACCTGCCTCCATGAATTCAACATACGGTATTGCCATGGAAACATGTCTTGATGTAGCAAAGTGAGAATTTTTCCAGTATTGCAGTACAAAGTGCATCTAATGCCGTGATGCTACCAGCTGCACCTAAAAGATAAGGGAACTGATCTAATAATAAAATCCCTGTCTCTGCAGTAAAATCCTGGCCCTGCCTTTTCTCCATGTACTATTTTTATGCTGACATTTATTAATTTGCACCTCATCTTTGCACTGTGCACTGTTTCCAGCTCACTGTTGACGTGTATCGTGTGGATAATGAGTGTTATTTTTAATGATGGAAACACAAAATGATGTGAGGGTGGGGTGGGAGGGGTTTGGTGGTGATGAGGATAGGAGCTCCTGAGCAGAAAACTAGATCATCGCTTGGAAAAGTACAATCTGCTGTCTGGAACGTGGTATACAGGGAGTGGGACCCAAAGTAAGGAGTGGCCATTTAGTGTTGCATTTCTTGGCAACCTAGTGACATTCGATGAATAGCACCTCTGAAAGCATGCCTTGTTGAGATTCTAATGAATCAAAAAACTCGATTCAAGGAGCTAGAGTTTTAAAAAGAAAACGCATAGGGGAAACTAAGGAGTAAAGTTCTTAAAACAGCAATTTCACACTTTAAATGAGCTAGCTTTTTCCATAGGATCTTGGGATGTGGAAGGAGGCTGTTCGGCCCCTAATTCCCGTGACAGCTCTTTTAAAGATTTGATCCAGTTACTGCTGCCCTGTCCCACTGCCCTGCTGTTTACCCTAATTGATTTAATTCTTCGCTCAACGCATAATACCAATGAAGAGGAAGTCCACTTTCCCAAGCTGGTGAATTGGAAGCATTCAGCTTATGATGGTGTCACTGGACCAGTAATCCCAGAGACCCAGGATCTGATGTTAACGTGGTTTCATATCAGCTAGTGGAGTTTAAATATGATTAATAAATCCTGAATATAAAAGTTAATCTCAACAAAGGGGGCACGTGAAATTGTCATCTGGTTCACTAATTTCATTTCGGGAGTGAAATCTGCCATCCTTACATGGTCTGGCCCATGTGTGACTCCAGACTAAGAGAAATCTGGCTGACTCTTGACTCCTCCCTACAATGGCTCTAGCAAGCCTCTCTGTTCAAGGGCACTTAGGGATGGGCAACGACTGCTGGCCTTGCCAGTGAAGCCTACATCCATGACAGAATTTTTTAAAAACGTTATCCAAGCCATTAAGAAACTCCTGTTGCTTCAAACTTTCCATCACTTAAACCCCCCTGGAGAAGATTGCATTGGAACCGAAGAAAAAAAAACTGCAGATGCTGAAGATCTGAAACAGAAACAGAAATTGCTGGGAGGAACTCAGTATTTTGGAAGGGTCACCGAACTCGAAACGTTTACTCTGATTTCTCTCTCCACAACTGTTGCCGGACCTTCTGAGGTTCTCCAGCAATTTCTGTTTTTGTTCAGAACCTCACCAGGTATGGGGTTCTCTGTGATCATTGGTGATCAAATGAAGAATGAAAGGGACTCGGTGCTTGACTTTTCAAACTGGATAAGGATTTGCTGTTCAAAAAGAAAGTTGCTGTTGTGACAGAACTTAAAACTTGGTTTTAGTTCAGTTTGTTTTCATAATGCATTTGAAACTACTTTGGTTTCAGGAAGATCAGCTGAAGTCGCACGAGGCCAAGCTAAAACAGATTTCCACTGAGCTCACTGAGCACCGTTCCTACCCGCCTGACAAGAAAGTCAAAGCAAAGGAAATTGATGAATACAGACTGAAGGAGCACTACCTGGAGTTTGAGGTAGGGTTTGGCAAAAGCTTTTATACACTCTGTCCTTCCACTGTAGCTATATACAATTGTGTTTAGAAATAGCAAAGATAGCAGGTTAGAAAGGGAGCACTTTTCTTTGTAGGTTACGTGGAACAATCCCTCTTCCGTACCTACACTGGCTCTAAACCCCACCTCTTCCTCCGTTACATTGATGACTGTATCGGCGCCGCCTCGTGCTCCCACGAGGAGCTCGAACAGTTCATCCACTTCACTAACACCTTCCACCCCAACCTTAAGTTTACCTGGACCATCTCTAACACCGCTCTCCCCTTCCTGGACCTCTCTGTCTCCATATCGGGCAACCACCTAGAAACCGATATCATTTCAAGCCCACTGACTCCCACAGCTACCTAGAATACTCCTCCTCCCACCCACCTTCCTGCAAAAATGCTATCCCCTATTCCCAATTCCTTCGCCTCCGCTGCATCTGCTCCCAGGATGAGGCATTCCACTCCCGTACATCTCAGTTGTCCTCGTTTTTCAAGGACCGTAACTTCCCCCCTTCAGTGGTCGAGAACGCCCTCAACCGTGTCTCCCACATCTCCCGCAACTCATCCCTCATACCCCGTCCACGCAATAAGAACCAAAAAAGAATCCCCCTCGTCCTCACGTACCACCCCACCAACCTCCGGATCCAACGCATCATCCTCCGACACTTCCGCCATCTGCAATCCGACCCTACCACCAAAGACATCTTTCCCTCCCCACCCCTATCTGCTTTCCGGAGGGACCACTCTCTCCGTGACTCCCTTGTCCGCTCCACACTCCCCTCCAGCTCCACCACACCCAGCACTTTTCCCTGCAACCGCAGGAAGTGCTACACCTGCCCCCATACCTCCTCCCTCACCCCCATCCCAGGCCCCAAGAAGACTTTCCACATCAAGCAGATGTTCACCTGCACATCTGCCAATGTGGTATACTGCATCCGCTGTACCCGGTGTGGCTACAGCAACACACACCAAACAAAGCGGAGGCTCGGGGACTGCTTTGCAGAACACCTACGCTCGGTTCGCAATAAACAACTGCACCTCCCAGTCGCGAACCATTTCAACTCCCCCTCCCATTCCTCAGACGACATGTCCATCCTGGGCCTCCTGCAGTGCCACAACGACGCCACCCGAAGGTTGCAGGAACAGCAACTCATATTCCGCTTGGGAACCCTGCAGCCCAATGGTATCAATGTGGATTTCACAAGTTTCAAAATCTCCCCTCCCCCTACCGCATCCCAAAACCAGTCCAACTCGTCCCTGCCTCCCTAACCTGTTCTTCCTCCCACCTATCCCCTCCTCCCACCTCAAGCCGCACCTCCATCTCCTACCGACTAACCTCATCCCGCCCCCTTGACCTGTCTGTCCTCCCTGGACTGACCTATCCCCTCCCTAACTCCCCATCTACACTCACCTTTACTGGCCCCATCCCCGCCTCTTCGACCTGTTTGTTTCCTCTCCACCTATCCTCTCCTCCATCCAAATTCTATTCGCCTCCCACTCTCTCCCTATTTATTTCAGAACCCCCTTCCCCTCCCCCTTTTCTGATGAAGGGTCTAGGCCCGAAACGTCAGCCTCTCTGCTCCTATGATGCTGCTTGGCCTGCTGTGTTCATCCAGCCCTGCACCTTGTTGTCTCGGATTCACCACCATCTGCAGTTCCTACTATCTCTGATTCACTTTTCAATGTGTGGCAGTTTTTATGCATTGTTACATTGATCATTGTACTGCCAGCCAGGAATCTTCAGCAACACAGCTCAATAACCATCACTACTCCATCATTGGCAATTGTGCCAACCATTATCTCATCCCTCCTAAGCTTTGGAATTTCCTTCCCAACTCTCTGCTGATCTGATCTATAATGCCACTCCTTTAAAACCTATCTCTTTGACCTAGTTTTTGATCACCTGTCTTAATATTTCTTTGCATACAGATCAAAGTTAAATCTTGTTCAATACTTCTGTGTTGTGGGACATTGTTACTAAGGGGAAGGTGCTAAATAAAATGCAAGTCTTTGTTCAAGTGAAACTTTGGAATTACTTGTCTTCATATTTTTCCTTCAAGCAGCTCTTTTGTATATATTTTGTACATATTGATTTGCTCTCAATAATATGAACACTATTCTGCCACATTTCTCTTACAGAGTACAGACACCATTTATTCTGGCAGTCTGCTGGCCCTGCTATCCTGGTATTGATGCGCTCTGTGATTTTTGAATGATAAAATTGTTCAAGATTTTTCTTGTCTTTGAAGATGATATCCTCTTTCACCGGGAGCCATCAAATTGGCGGCTTGTTTAGCTACTTCCCATGTAGGTTGTATGAATAGTTATGATGTGGAGGTGCCTGGTGTTGGATTGGGATGGACAAGGTCAGAAGTCACACGATACCAGTTTATAGAGCTACAGGTTTATTTGAAATCACTAACTTTCAGAGTGCTGCTCCTTCGTCAGGCGAAGCAATGAAGGAGCAGCGCTCTGAAAGCTTGTAATCTCAAATAAACCTGTTGGACTATAACCTGGTGTCATGTGATGTTTTTCCGTATGAATTGTTGTACATCTGGTATCAAAGAGCGTGATGTTGCTATTGATACCGTCTCACAATCCGCTTCTTTTCTACCTTCCAACTATCTTCACTCTGATAAAGAAGAACTCTCTTTCTCAAAAGTTGTTGGAAGAAGAGTCTTTGAATATTGTTAAGGCAAAGATTGAGAGATTCCTGATAAGCAAGGGGGAGAAAGCTTTTCAGAATGGACAGAAACATGGAGTAACCAGATTAGCTACAATCTTATTGAATGGAAAAGCAGGCTTTAGGGGTCAAGTGGCCTACTGCTCCTAATATGTATGTTCATAAGATGTTGAGTCATGAGAAAATGTCCATTGCTAATGCGGTTAAAACTTGCACGGCAACACAAGCTTGCTCGCAATACCCTTTCCATTGAAAACGTATGCTCCCACATTTACAATGACCACTGCCCATGCAAATCTTTCAGCTGCTATTGTATCCTCATTCTGAGGAGGTGTTGTGGGGCCACCATTGGTTTAAAGTTGCAATTATACTGTGACAGGTTTACCTAGGAATTGTCCATTCTAAATGTAGCTGTAAGAACTTTGAATCAAAGTACAAAACTAAGGCTGGAATGGGTACAACTTTAAATGGGGAATTGAGTTCCAACTTTGATCCAGTGGCTTGCTGACCCCATTTCGTTTGAACACTGTTATAGTGGTGGTAGGTTAGCTCAGTTGGCTGAACGGCTGGTTTGCGAGGCACAGTGACTCCAACAGTGTGGCTTCAATTACTCACACCAGTTGAGGTTACAATAAAGGACTCTCTTGTCAACCTTGGAATTATTCCTTGTCAACCCTTGCCTGTGGTGTGGTGACTCTTGGGTTAAATTGCTACCAGTCATCTCTCTACAATGAGAGAGCATCCCTATGGTCCATTAGGACTGTGCTAACTTGGCCTTTCATACTTCCAGTGAGGCAGCAGTGTTGGATTTATGAATAATTCAGTGCTGTGGAAGTGATATTTCCTCACTGAAGCCCATTTGCTTGAATTGCTGAAGTCCTTTCATTACAGTTTCTTGTCTCTTCTTGGTTATTCCTAATCTTTCTACTTCTGCTGTGGAAAATTGTTCCAGTCATCAGTCTTGGAATAATTTCTTTACTAAGTTTCTAATTAAATGCGCAGTCCCCTTAAGTAACGTCTGGCCTTTTCTTGAAAGGGTTTGAGCCGTAGGGAGAGATTGAATAGGCCGGGGCTATTTTCCTTGGAGCGTCAGAGGCTGAGGAGAGACTTTACAGAGGTTTACAGAATCATAAGGGGCATAGATATGAATCTTTTCCCCAGGGTAGGGAGTCCAAAACCAGAGGGCATAGGTTTAAGGTGAGAGGGGTAAGAGTTAACAGGGACCTTAGGGGCAACTTTTTCATGCAGAGGGTGGTGAGTGTATGGAATGAGCTGCCAGAGGAAGTGGTGGAGGCTGGTACAATTACAACATTTAAAAGGTATCTGGATGGATATATGAATAAAAAGTGTTTAGAGGGAAGTGGGCCAAGTGCTGCCAAATGGGACTAGATTTAATTTAGGATATCTGGTTGGCATGGACGAGTTGGACTGAAGGATCTTTTACCGTGCTGTATGTCTCTATAACTCTAAGTGTGAAGCGGTATTCAGTATTTACCCTGTCCATTTTGTTTCATATACCCCATGCACCACTGAGATCACTTCTTTATTAGTGCAAGAGGAATTCACTCTCTGCCTGTCTATGACATCCTCAGAATAAAATCTGTTCTGACATGGAGTCATAGAGATGTACAGCACAGGAACAGACTCTTCAGTCCAACTTGTCCATGCTGACCAGATATCGTAAATTAATCTAATCCCATTGGCCAGTATTTGGCCCATATCCCCCTCAACCCTTCCTATTCATACATCTAATTCATTTCTGCAGCCATTTCACCCTCTTTGAGCCTGAGCCTGTAGCCTTTCAAGTGGCAATGACTGGATGCTCACTTCTTCCATGTTTTCTGGACAGAAAAGATGCCCTTGTTTGATTTGTCTAAATTTCAGCTGCATTTTCAGTTAATGGTGGTTTACAACCTTCCTATTGCTGGTTGTGATAACCCATGGCCAAACATTAGATCTGGAGGAACAAAAACAAAGTTGCTGGAAAAGCTCAGCAGGTCTAGCAGCGTCTGTGAAGGAGAAAACAGAGTTAACGTTTCGGGTCCGGTGACCCTCCCTCAGAACTCAGATCTGGAGGAGTTAGCACCAATTAGGTGCAATGAGGTACCTGTAAACTGTTAAGAAATGTTAAGAAAATAGAAATGTATTTCCAAAGGAATGGCTTACATTTAATCATGTGATGTTATGTGCCCACTGGAAGACCAGTCTTTCCCTCTCCCCTGAAATTACTTTTCCCTTGAACAGTACTGATTGTTCAAAATTCCTTTCACTGTCCCCGAGTATTGTGATGTTACTTC